CTCTGTTGCTCTGCTATTCTGTTATTCTAAGATTCAAATCGTGAAAAGTTTGATTGACATTTTCTTTCTTTCTTTCTTCGTTCCCAGTTTGCCACAGTTCGTGCACCAGCTGCACGGGACCTTTGTCTACTCAGTGTACGTCCTGCTCCTTTCCCCAGGCCTTCTACCAGGGCCAGTGTCTCCTCGCTTGCGGAGAGGGCTTTTATCAGCACCACAACCTCTGTAAAGGTAACCCAGATTTCCCTACCTTTGTAGCCAACGAATAAAATCTCTCCTGTTCATCCTCTCCTGCGGTTCCAACGTTGGGAAAGTTTTTCATTCCTCCTGAAATCTTTTAGAGGCTTTTTTCAGATAAGCCGCTTTTGGAGTTGAATTGAAACAACTTCTTAGAAAGTCTCTCAGTGACACCCCCTAAAAAGAAATGGTTGTGTGACGTGGAGAATGTTGATGGGCTAGGACAGGGGTAGGCAACTTTGGCTCTTTTATGACTCGTGGACTTCAACTCCCAGAATTCCTGAGTCCGCATGGCTCAGCTTGGAAACTCTCCCTTTCCCTCTTTCCCCTCAGCATGGCTGGCTCAGGAATTCTGGGAGTTGAAGTCCACGAGTCATAAAAGGGCCAAGGTTGCCTACCCCTGGCCAAGGGTGATTAGACACACAAGGAATTTGTCTCTGGTGCAGAAACTCTCAGTAAATGGAAAGCAAAATAATAATAATAATAATAATAATAATAATAATAATAATAATAATAATAATAATAATAATAATAATAATAAATGGGAGAAGAGTAAGAAAGATAAGAAAGATAAATAATAATAATAATAATAATAATAATAATAATAATAATAATAATAATAATAATAATAATAATAATAATAATAATAATAATACAGCCATTCTATATGATAAATACACATAGACATTAGATAGCACTGTGAGAATTAGACGTTTAGCAGAGTGATGGCCCGAGGGGAAAAAAATTGTCCCTGTGGCTAGTTGTTTTGACATATATAACACCCTTCTGCTACGTATTCAAGATGGACAGTGATTAATACTTATATGTATTTATATGTAAGGGTGTAGGTGTATACATATGTTGTATATAGCATGTTTATATATGTGTTATGTGTGTGTATACTTTCTGAGAGCAAGCAACAGAATTTCATTTTTAATGTATGCCAGTGTGCCCACAGTAAATAATGACAATAAAGGTTATCTATCTGTCTGTCTGTCTCTATCTCTATCTCTCTGTCTCTATCTCTATTTCTATCTCTATCTATCTGTCTGTCTGTCTGTCTGTCTGTCTATTTTTCTGTCTGTCTGTCTATCTCTGCCTGCCTGCCTGCCTGCCTACCTACCTACCTACTGTCCGTCCGTCCATCTCACCGTCCCGAGGGGAGGAGTTGAAACATTTTATATCCAGGATGTGAGGGGTCTGTAGATACATTCTCAGCCCTCCTTCTGACCTATGCATTATGCAATAAAATGTCCAGGTCTTCTGTGGAAGGCAGGCTGGTTGCAATTGTTCTCTCTGCAGTCTTAACTCTCTGATGGAGTCTGTACCTGTCCTGTTTGGTTTCCGACTCTTCTTCTGCAGGTTGCCATTCATCCTGCAGGGCCTGTGTTGGCCCAGAACATTCACACTGTACGCAATGCATGAATCCCGAGGAGAACCTTCAACCAGACACCAGCCTTGAGGAGAGGCCCATTGGCATCTGCTTACCTCAGTGCAGAGCCCGGTTCTACAGCAACGAAGGCAGGATTTGCAAAGGTGAGCGACGATCTGTTCTGTCCCAAGCTGATCGTGAAAAAAAGAGAAATTCAAACTGCGTGAAGGGTGAAGTTTCAGTCGTCTAACATGGAGAATTAGCTAGGATTGAATTTCTCAAGCACCCCAACGCCAGTTTGGGTTTTAGGGCCGCCTACCACAAAGAAAAAACGATGGTTTTGTACTTGATGTAGAACAAACTTGAGCCTTTTTTTTTTTTATGCTGAAGGCGGCCAAAAACATAAATGTGTTCTTGGGCTTTTTAGAACTGAGGTAATCTGACGGCTGATGGCAGGTAGAGGTGGCTTGTGGGTTGCTCACTGTTATAGAGAATGTAAGAGTAGGTGGGTGTGGAGAATTATTATTTGATACATTGCCGTGAAGCGGAAATATTCTGTAGGATTTTCGCTGTAGACTGTGGCTGTATAATACAATGGCACCTCGGGTATTTGACTGCTTCAAAACTTGTCGAATTTGGTACTCAGCGCAATTTGATGCAAAAATGTTGTTCCGATAGTGGTTGCTTCTTTGGTATTCAGCAAGCTGCAAAAGAAAGAGGGGGACGGCTGCAGAGGGCAGACAGGAAGGTGGCCACGTTGGGAAGGTGGCTGCAAAAAGAGGGGGACGGCAGCAGAGGGCAGACAGGAAATCAGCCATGCTGGAAAGGTGGCTGACATAGGAAAAAAAGACAGACAGAAAGATCTTCCAGGCCAAAACAAAGGGTCGTGTGTAAGTTACCTGGTTTGTTTGGCATTTGTAGTTTTTAGTACTCATGCTTCCCGGAATCGATTCACGTCGACGACCGAGGTATCACTGTACTGAGGATTTAGTTCCAAGAAGTTGCTTTACAGCAGGGGTCCCCAACCTGTGGGCCGTGGCCCACTACCGGGCTGTGGCCTGCTGGGCACCAGGCCGCGGATCAGGTTGCCCAGTGCGCGCAGTCACCCCCACTTGTGCTAGCGCCACGGCCGAGATGAAAACGGGGCACCGCGTGGCAAAAACAGGGCAGGGCTAGGGAGTGTCACACGGGCGCTAGCGCTGCCCCATTTGCATCGTGCAGGCATTAATACCGCCCTTTTTGCGTCACGCACGTGCTCACGGACCCGTTTGCGCGCATGTGCACGTAAAATGTTTCCCCCTCCCTTTCCCTCCGGTCCGCCAACTGAGAAAGGTTGGAGACCTCTGCTTTACAGTATATAGCAGTGCAACCAAAGCCATTATCTCACGCTCTTTAAAGCAGCCGCATCTTTTCCTAGATCACATGGTTGTCCTTCACAGCAGCTGTACAATTTCAGGAAAAGACGGCTGTGTTAAAGTGTCTCAGACATATTCTCTCTCTCTCTCTCTCTCTCTCTCTCTCTCTCTCTCTCTCTCTCTCTCTCTCTCTCACACACACACACACACACACACACACACACACACATCTCTGAGCTCCAAATCTGAAGCAGCCTTCGTATACAAATCACTTTGAAAAATGGAATCCTGCAGATCCGGATAACTTCCATGTCCGCAACATTTCCTTGAGCAGACTAATAAACTGTCTTCAAGTGATGTGCTAATAAAAAGGTGGTGTTTTTTTTTTCCAAATGATTTAGACTGTCCTGACGTTTATTGGAAGCAAAGCCTGTTCAAAGGTAGTTCTGAACTCTTTTTGTGGTGCTCAAGGGTTTTTGGTTAACAACACCACATCGCATTCTCTCTTAAAAGCACCAGTTCCGCATTTGTACCCAGAATATGTACCACAGCAACAAATTTGCTTATTATATAGATTGTGGGAAATTGGACTGAGGAGGAGGAAGGCTGCTGAGACTAGCAGATCACAGCTGTATAGACCGCAGGAGAGCCTGTAGACCAAATAATTCACACCTCTGCTTGAGGCAGGAAAATCAGAAATAAAATATCCCCAAGAGACAGCTTTTCAGCCTCTGATTGTCTATAGCAGCGTTTCTCAACCTTGACCATTTTAAGGCATGTGGACTTCAACTCCCAGAATTCCACAGCCAGCATTGCTGGCTGTGGAATTCTGGGAGTTGAAGTCCACATGCCTTAAAATGGCCAAGGTTGAGAAACACTGGTCTATAGCCTCTTTGGCAGCCTGAGACACCCCTTGTCCCAAACCAGGCAGTTGAAATTGGATCAAAAATGGCCAATTTACGACAGTGAAACTAACTCTTCCACGCCTTCTGTCTAGTTTGTTTATTTGTTAAGTGCCTACAAGTCAGTTGTGTCTCCTGCCAATTGCCTGGACAAATCCCTGCAATTTCCTCGGCAAGGTTTTCAGATGTGGTTTGCCATTACCTGTTTCCTAGGGCTGAGAAAGAGGGGCTGGCCCAAGATCACCCAGCTGGCTTTGTGCCTAAAGCAAGACTAGAATTCAGAGTATCCCATGTTCACCATTACACCAAATTTGTTCTCTTTCTGTCGCTCCCATGTAACACCGTTGCTGCGCGAGCTGCACTGGCTGCCGGTGGCTTTCCGGGTGCGCTTCAAGGTGTTGGTTATCACCTTCAAAGCGCTCCATGGCATCGGACCTGGATATCTCCGAGACCGCCTTCTGCTGCAGATTACCCCCCATCGGCCGGTACGCTCCCACAGGGTGGGTCTCCTCAGGGTGCCGTCAGCCAGACAGTGCCGGCTGGCGACTCCCAGGGGGAGGGCCTTCTCAGTGGGAGCTCCCACCCTCTGGAACGAGCTACCCCCAGAGATCCGGGTGATTCCGGATCTCCCTTCCTTCCGCCGCGCCCTCAAGACATGGTTA